ATATTTCAGACGCTTTATCGGGAAAACTGACTCACGATGTTCCTTGCAATTTATCTCAGTGATGTTTGCAAATATTCTTTATTTCACCTGTTAGCATTAGCAGAACATTACAGCCATTCCTGCGAGATACGTGTTTAGAAGTTTTAACTTTTAATGATTCAAACTGTGAGCACCATTTGGGTCTAACAGTTATGGCAATAGCAAAACTAAGCTACTCGGGATTTTGGTTGAAATAATCAAACTGTTTGTCATTTTAGAAATGCAAATTTTATTCCAGTTCTTGCACAATATAGAAAGATGCTCCTTGCTGTTGTCACATTATCAGTACCAGCAAATTTCTAGGCTGAAGTCTATTTCTGGTATAATTTCAGAAGATGTATGTTTATGATTCAGAAGAATTGTGGCTATGATATTTCCTAAAAGCTTTAAGAAATATATCCAAATCTTGTTGCCTCTTCATTTTATGTGGTTATTTCCATAATTTATTATAAATTCATGCATGTATAAATATCAAAGCTCTGCATACTAACTATTCACAAGAATTTCAGAGCATGAGCAGTAGGATCAAAGTAGAAACAATAGAACCGAAATAGAAGCAATGATGTGATTTGAAGAGAATGATAAACCAGCAATTCTCCTAAATCTCGAGTACCTCCCTGCCCAGGGGACTGGACTGTGAATATTCCTCACATTTAATTGTCCAAGAGGTTCTTTTCTCACCATGACATCCTCCAGCATTTGGCTGATAAAGTTTATGCTAGAATTTATGTTAGTAATTCATTTTACCTCTCGTTGCGGTCACTAGTAACCAATTTACTAATTAGCACTGACACATTTCAATAGTTTATCAATAGGCACGTTTGCACGCATGCGCACACACAGAGTTAAATTGGACAAATTAAGACCAGTGAAAGTGAATTAGATTGGCCACGCTGAGTGATTTCAGAAGCAAACTAAAACTCCCCCTTGCTTCCATTCCTGAAGAAAGCCTGAATTTGACCTATGGTCAATACTTCCTGGGTTGCCCGTCCAGCCCCTGCTTCTGGGTGGATGTTCTCCTCCTTCCGCCCCTGCCCCGACCCCCGCTCTTGCACCTGCAGACTTGCATTGGGAACAGTCCTAGCTACACGACTTGACTTGCCTCCCTCATCTCCAATCCCTGGCTTAAGACGATTGTTCAGTGCACCTCACCTAAGGTGGGCCAATCAGAATCCCTTCCTTAAGAACTTGGGTTTGAGGGGCATCTGGATGGTTCAGTCGGTTAAGCGTCCGCTTTCAGCTCAGGTGATGATCCCAGAGTCCGCGTCGGGCTCCTCGCTCAGTAGGAAGCCTGCTACTCTCTCTCTCTTTCTGTCAAATAAAATCTTTCTAAAAAGATTATCATGATAATCTTTAAAATAAAGATTGTATTTATTTGTTGGAGAGAGACAGATCACAAGTAGGCAGAGAGGCAGGCAGAGAGAGAGGGGGAAGCGGACTCTCTGCTGAGCAGAGACCCCGATGTGGGGCTTGATCCCAGGTCCCTGGGATCATGACCTGAGCCAAAGGCTGGCACTTAACCGACTGAGTCACCCAGGGGCCTCAAAATAAATAAAATCTTAAAAAAAAAAAAAAGAATTTGGGTTTGAGACTGGTGGCTGTGAGTGCTTGTGCCCTTCTGCCATGTCGAAGGAGTGTGGAGGTAAAGAAGCAAGAAGCAGGTGCAAAGCAGTCCCCCTTGAGTCCGAGGTCCTCCTGATAGTTTGCTTTTAAGGCCCTGTCTGTGGACGCTGAGAGGCACACGTGTATCCTTATCTATATTTTTTCCATTTTTTGCTTTATCACAGTCAGCGTTTCTTCTGTGCTACTGACATCAACCTAACTAAATGTTCCCTTAAAGTTCCCCTGCTCCCGTAATAAGGCTTGACGTCAGAGATCCTTAGTGTGCAAGCTGCGTACTGTACTTTTTTAAAGCAATGGTGCATTACGGAGCCCCTGCATGGCATACAGAATGGGATGCAGGTCCAGATCAAGGGCCTCTGGGTGGCTTCTTAAAAACATCTTCATAGGGGCGCCTGGGTGGCTCAGTCAGTTAAGGTCATGATCCCAGGGTCCTGCTCAGCAGGGAGCCTCCTTCTCCCTCCCCCTCTGCCTTCCACTCCCCCTGCGAGTGCTCTCTCTCTCTGTGTCAAATAAAATAAGTAAAATCTTAAAAAAAACAAAAAACCTTCATAATGTCCTAGTGTGGGGATGTAATTTTAATGACATTAAATATAAACAGCTCAGAATTGTATATTAATTATGGTGAGCTTCAATTCCTAGCAGATGGGACCTGGTGAACAGAGCTGGGTTATGAATTATCTCTCATGACAAAAGGCCCGAGACACAGATATGTGTAAAATATGCATTGGCTTAGATGACAAAGGGGACACCTGTCCTCATCTGGGACAAAGAGGTGACCAGCAGGAAGGTCAGAGTGCTGCTCCCAGAAGGTACTAACCCCCAGAGGGGCATCTCAGCAGGCAGACCCTGAAGGCAGCATCTTCAGCCACTTCTGGGCAGCCTGGAAGGGCACCCCCTGTGCTTCCCGAGATGTTGGCTGCCAAGTACCATGTGGGAAAGACTGTCAGACCTAGTCTAGATGTATACCTTCCCAATGCTCTCTGCTATCCAAAAAATGTATACTAATTGTTCCTGCAGGGAAAGTTTATAGGTAGAATTCTCCAGATGTGTGTTAGATAAACCACCCTTACATGGGTATAGATGGTCCACCTCTGGAGCTGAGACGCTTTGATTCTGTTCACAGAAGAATCACTGGGGGAGTAGACAGAGGAGGGAAGGGGGAACAATCCTAAGGGCACCAGTGTGGGATTGGGGAAGTACTGCTGAAAGCCAGCTTTGATTTCACTTTACTTACCTGGTGATTGCTTAAATAGTTCTTTGTACAAGCCAGGCACTGGTTAAGCACTTCACATGTTTAACTCACGTAATGGACCTGATGAGGCAGTTACTGTTACTTCTTCATTTTCCAGTTGAGGAAATGAGGCACGGGAGGTTGTAAGTAACTTGTTCAGGGTCCTATAGCCCATAAGATACATATTCCTGAAGAGCTTTTTTTTTTTTTTCTTTTGGTGGTGGAGGGGATTGGCACATTAAATCCTCTGTGCTGGGGCGCCTGGGTGGCTCAGCCTGTTAAGCGTCTGCCTTTGGCTCAGGTCACAATCTCGGGGTCCTGGGATCAAGCCCTGGGATGAGCTCCCCACTCAGCAGCCAGTCTGCTTTTCCCTCTCCCTCGGCTCCTCCTCCCACCTTGTACTCTCTCTCAAATAAATACATAAAATCTTTTTTAAAAATCCTATATCTCATTTAAATAACCATAATTTAAAGATTTACAATAGAGAAGCTTTCAAACAGGGAAAGAATCCTCTCCAGATGAATTTTTGTCTCTCTGGGCATACTTGATTCCTTTGCTTTTCCTTTTTGAAGGCTCCAGATTTCCATAGTGTCCAACACTCACCTGGGCTAGATTTTGAGATAGGGATAGAATGACGTAGGTGTGCACAGAAGTGAGAACAGAGATCTAAGACCCTACATTTTGAAGGTTTGAGGAAGGGAGGGGCTGCTTCTGAGAATTCCAGCTGGAGGTTCTTAGGGTTTCTGTGCCGCCTTCAGGTCAGTTTGCGGGGATGGACCTGGGGTGGGAAATGTAATTCTGGTGCTAAGGAACAACCTGAGAGCAAACATTCTAAACAATGGAACATACCAGGATAGTATAGGGCCTGAGTTTTCTATGATATTTTCAAGTTTATTGTTTATAAAATGGTTTTGTAAGACATATCCTTGAGGGAAAGTTGCCAAATAAGTTCCTTGACACTTGACCTTCAATAATCAGGTAGAAAAGCAAGCTCCCTTAAAGCCATTCAAAGGTAAGCCTGAGGTCAACTGGCAGGATACCTGGGGGCTGGAAGCAGGGGTTCTCATCCTTAGGGCCGTGGAAAATGTATTCAATACTTAGTCTGCGTGCATAAACATTTCTCCAGGAAGAGGGTCCTGTGCTGTCATCAACTTCTCACAGAAGTCAAGGGACCCCAAAATGTGCAGAACCCCTGCCCGACACCATCTCTTCAGGGACCCGGGGGAGTAAACCCAGAAGGGTCGGGAAAGACCCGCAGCTTGGCAGCAGGACCTCCGCTTTCAGAGGGCGCGGGGAAAGCCGGGCTCTAGGAGATGCTCCTTTACCCTGACCGGTTCCCTGGTGGTCTGTACTGCCCAAGGGATGCCCGGTCCCTCCGGCAGTTGGGGGTTCAAGACCTGCATCCCCAACGCCCGCCTCCCAGTAGGGCTCCAGCCCGGGGTGTGGCAGGCTCGAATCTGCTCCCAGGCCCAGCGCGAAGGCTGCAGCGCGTAACGAGCTGTGGTTTCAGCGGCTCGCATCCCACTTCCCCGCCTGGGCCAGTTCCTGGGGGGACTGGCCTCGACCGCAGCGCCGCGCCCCGCGGCGCGCGCGCACTCATTTTCCTGGCGGAGGGAGCGGGCTTCGGCGGGCGCTGCGTCCTACAAGATGTGCTGACGTCGCGGAGGGCCGGCAGTCGGCTCGGGAGCGGCCGGCGCGCGCGTGTGCGTTGGGTGCAGCTGCGAGGCGGGGAGGCGCGCAGGGTCGGTGGTTGTGCTGCTCCTAGGGCGGCGGCCGCCACCGCAGCAGCACCCCGGGCTGAGGGGGCCGTCGCGACGGGACGAGCTGGGGATGGGGAACACCGGGCCCCGCACCTCTCCCGGGCGCGTGTGCGGCGCCGGGGGCGCACAGTGACGGCTGCGGCGCCCCTAAGCCGGGCAGCGCTGAGGCCGCTTCGCCAAGGGAGCCTTCGGCCGGCGGCGGGCCGGGCCATGAGGAGCAGCCGGGCCCGGGCCAGGCCTCGCTGACCCCCGGCCCCGCGCGGAGGCCTCCCCCGTTTCCGCTCCGGTCTCTCGGCATGAGCGTCCGCCCAGGCCGGGGGCCGCGGCTGCCCCAGTGCGGCGGCCCGCGGGCGCGCTCCGGGCCGGCGGGCCCGCGGTGCTGAGCCCGGCCTGCCTCGCTGCGCTGCCCGCCCGCCCGCTGTATGCCCCGGGGGCGCGGCCATGGAGGTGGTGGGCGACTTCGAGTACAGCAAGAGGGACCTCGTGGGACACGGGGCCTTCGCCGTGGTCTTCCGGGGGCGGCACCGCCAGGTGAGCCCCGCCGGCCGGGGCGAGGCCGGGGTCTGTGGGCCGCCCTCCCGTCCGCGCGGCCGCGGCGGGACTGGATGGTCCTGAAACTTGGCGACGCCGCGGGCGCAGAGGCCCCCCCCCCCCCCCGGCTTGGCTCGCCGCCCTGAGGCCTGCCATTGTGCGCGCTGTCAGTGTCGCGGGGTTTGTTTTGGTCGGGCGAGGACTGTTTTGAGGCCGAAGCCGCTAGGCAGCGCTCCACCTACCGACTGGCCGCTCGGCCTCTGATTTCCTCCTTGCAGACCGCCTGGTAACCAGAGCGCGCTTAGGGGCTCGCTCGCCCGCCCGGCCCGCCGGGACGTGCCTTTCCCCCTGAATGTGCCCAGGATCCGAGTCCGAAAAGCCTGCACACGGTCCCCTGCCCAGCCCGGGCGTGGGCGCATCTGAGGTTTTTCCGCACCCTGGGCTGCCAAAGCTTGTCCCTTTTCAGGTCGATAGTTGCAGACCCAGCGGAAAACGGGCTGGTTTCCCGTTAGCCCGAGACTTTCTCAAACTCGGGGTGGGGGTGGGGGGTATCACATTTCCCAGCGTTGGTTCCTCAACACGCGGACGAGCCCCGTACCACCTTGCCTTTCTGGGGTTAGATAGGCGGGTGGGAGAGAGGGTTGGACGCTTCATCTTTCAGTCCAAGTAAACATGAATGCCGGTTCGAAAATGTTTTAAAGCTCTTGCAGTTCCGCAAATAGGGTCCCACGAGGTTGTCGAATCTAAAGAATTTGGAAGAGCACCTAGGGAGTGGAAATGATCAAAGGGGTTTTGGTAGTCCTGGTTGTTGGCAAGGGGCCTGTTAAAAGCGGGCTGGTTTTGTTGCTTATCAGAGTAATAAAAACTACTTTCCTTTATTATGGGATAAACTGAAAACTCGACAAAAAGTGATTAAAACAGGGCCAAATCTTGCCAAGCTATCAAATACCACCTTCCAGTTTATTATCCGCATTTCTCCAAAACTTTAAAGTGGTTGTAAATTTTGTCCTTTGTTTCATTTCATGCTCGCTACTATGTGATCTTCGTATTTATTATTTTTAGTGGCTGTCTTGTAGGACGTCAGCTTGTAATTTATGAAATCATTTTCCTATTGTTGGAGATTCGGATTCTTTTCCATTCCCCCCCCCCAGTGTTTATGAATTTGCTAAAAAAAAAAAAAAAAACCTTTGTGCTTATAGATTATGTTTCTATAAAATAATTTCCCGGAGTAACACTGTTTTTCCTTTTCAGAAAACTGATTGGGAGGTAGCTATTAAAAGTATTAATAAAAAGAACTTGTCAAAATCACAAATACTGCTTGGGAAGGAAATTAAGATCTTAAAGGTATGTTTATTTATGTGATATTTCATACTGGGTTAAAACTTATTTTAAAATTAATGCATGATGACATCTTTTGTAATTTTGGTCCCTGGAGCCAAGTTTGAGAGTTTTCACCTGTTGCTCTCATTTTTGCATGCTCAGTTTTTTGAGACATTTGAGTACTCGGAAGCTATTTTTAAGAATAGATGTTTGTGGCTCGTGGGCTTAGAGGGATTCTGTGAAGACTGATTTTAGCTTCTCCTAATTTCTTCTTTTCCTTGGTTATTGTGTTACTGTTTGAGAAGAGGCACACCCTTCTTATCCAATATTTAGCTCTTGTCTTGATCCCTTTCAGGTGACACTTAAGTATTTGGGGGGGACTGGGGGCAGATGGAACCTTTCTTCCTTGTAAATTGAAAACAAATTATTTACCTTGGAACTGGTCTTTTTAGATCACCCACAAGCAGTGTTACCCAAGTGAGGTGCTTTGGGGAAAAAATGGTTGCCTCGTCAAATACGTATGCAAAATCCTGTTTACTGCATACTTCTTGGAGAGTCACAAAGCCCTTTGCTTGGCAAAGAAAAATCTGAAAAATTGCGCCATGAAGAAACTGGCTTAGGTGTATTTAACTCAGTGTTCCCCAAGCTGGTGTGAGCGTAGAGCTCTCACCTCACACCAGCTTTCACCGAAACTACTCCTCTGTGGAGAGCTCTTTGGGAAGAATTACAGCTCTTTGAGCTAAGAATTATGCTTCATTTTCGTTCAGGCAAATAACGTGCGCTTTAAAAGCACTTCGGAATTTCATGCCTTTATTGCCGTTAGAACTGTATATTGAATTTGAAAAGACTCCCAGAGAGTCTGTGGTCATACTAACTGTGACATTTATTTTGTAAATGAGAGTACTCACCTTGTTAAGAGTCTAAAAAATGATCCTGGTGAAAAAACATTTAGGGCTCAAGTAAAGTTTGATCAGGCACATTTCCTCTTACTCTTTTGTAGATTGAATTGTTCTGATCTAGTAATGGAAGTGTAGTATGTAGAAAGAGTATATACTACCTAATGTGTGTGTATACTTAATATTTATTTGCATATTGAAATACATGTATTAAGAGTGATCACAAATATTTTAAATTCTCAATTTCCTTAACAGGAACTTCAGCATGAAAATATTGTAGCACTCTATGATGTTCAGGTACCTTATTATTAATATTATTTTTTAATTTGCATGTCAGTAAGGAACTCTGCTATTTCATACAAATTTAAGTGAATTGTAATAGAAATAGAAAATTGCCTTATTCTTGTTGGAAAGGTATATAGTTTGAGTTACATATTTATTAATAAAAAATTGCTTAAAGTAGGGGCGCCTGGGTGGCTCAGTTCGTTAAGCATCTGCCTTCGGCTCAAGTCCAGCTCCACGGAGAGCTCCCTGCTCAGCAGGGGAGTCTGCTTCTCCCTCTGCCTCTCCCTCTGCCCCTGCTCATGTATTCTCTCTCGTTCACTCTCTCAAATAAAATCTTTAAAAAAAAAAGTTGTTTAAAGTAGCATTGAGGGATAGGAGAAAATAATGTGCTGCATGAGTACATGAGTACTTTTATAGCCATACTATAGGAGTAGTGTTATTTTAGGTCAAGTAGAGGAATATTGATACCAGATCTAGCATTTCCTTTTTTTTTTTTCCCCCTAGCATTTCTGTCGTAAATGTAGAAAGGACTGTTGTGGGCTATTTAAAAAGTCAGAGCTTTTTTTTATTGCAAAAGTAACATTTGCTAATTGTAGATGTATTAGAAAAAAAATTAAAGAAAGCGTGCATATTCATCACCCTGATATAGCTGTGATTATCACCATGGCATACAGTAGAGTTGAATTTTATTTGGAGGTGGGAAGGCAAGGTTCTGAAGGTCTCTTCTAAGGCAACATTTCCCCTTGGAAGTCCTTTTAAAAAGCCTGATTTTGGAGAAAATTAGTATTTGGGGGGGCAGAGCATGAGAGTAAGTAGTTGGCTTATATTTAGGGGCCATATTGTGTTTTAAATTCTAGAACCACTCTTGTCTAGTGTGGTATCCGCTGTGTGAGAGCCACAGTGATCTGAGATCTAAGGAGGGGGCAGCAGACTCAGCTTCTCCCTGGATTCTCACTCCAAAGCAGACTAGGGTGCGTGATTTATGGCATTTCCTTCTTTTGTTTTTCTTAGTCTGGACAGTTGAATTCCAGTAAAGTAAATGGACATGTTACATGAGTCTGCTGTATGTGTTTCTAGCTAAAACCTTTTTTTTTTTTTTAAGATTTTATTTATTTACTTGACAGACACACAGCGAGAGAGGGAACACAAGCAGGGGGAGTGGGAGAGGGAGAAGCAGGCTTCCCGCCCGAGCAGGGAGCCAAATGCAGGGCGATGTAGGGCTCGATTCCAGGACCCTGGAATCATGACCCGAACTGAAGGTAGAGTCTGCTTAATGACTGAGCCACCCAGGCGCCCCGCTAAAATCTTTTCTGTACACACTTCCATTACTCGAATTCATTTATAAGGTTTTGAGTGGCTACTGTGTGCCAGGCATTGTTCTAAGGGCTAGGAATAAAGCAGCGAGTAAAACAAAGTCCTTGCTTTCAGTGTGCTTAATTTTAGCAGGGTGAGACAAAATGGACTGTTCTTCTTGTGCTTCTTTTTTGTATGTAGTGATTTTTCACATAGTCATATCATACTACAAAGTATTTAACTAAACCCACGTTACAAGATGTTTCATTTTTTTCTGTTATAGAAAAGTGCTATGAAGATAATATATAAATTCTGAACATAGCTTGGATTATTTTCATTCAATTTCTAGCATTGGAATTACCAAGGCAAATAAATAGCACACACAGTTTTAAAGTTTTTGATTGTAGAGTGTCATTGCTCTCCCAAAAAATGACAATTTAAATTTCATGTGCAGACTATGTGAGTTCTGTGGGGTGTGTTTTGTTACCTGTTTAAGTGGGTGTAACTCATTCCTTCATCCAAGAAATTCAAAGCAGCATAGAAAGAAAGGAGGAAAAACCTTAAAGTCAAAACTAAACTTATGTCACCATCCCTAGTTGAAATGTTGATTCTCCTCGGAGCTGTTTGTGTAGTTTGTCTTAGTCTCTGGAGACAGAGGGCACCAAGTGGTACAAGTCAGTGCCTGGTACAAAAATTGTTAAATAATATTAACTCTTAATTGCCCATTTTTTGAGAAGCACAGAAAACCCTGTCAATTGCAGAGTAGATTTTGCTTTCAGAAAATACAAAGTATACTTAGATTTCATTCTATTAGAAAAATATTTTTAAGTACTAGCTTTGGTTGTAGAGTGAGATATTTAGGAGGAACATGTGCTCAAAAACCTGAATTATCAAACAGTCCAGAATTTCAAGGTGACTGCAGTAAAATGTTTATATTTTGTGCATTGTATACTACTGGAAATACATAAATTTAAGAGATATCAGTCAAGTAAATACACTCTCGAGCATTTGACTAATGAGTAAACAGTCTTGATCTAATATTTTAGATTTGCTTCCTTAATTTTAATTGTATGTTTGTAGAGACAGTACAGTAGTTTTATCAAATTGAAATGAACATCATTTTTCCTGGCCATCAGTTTTGGAAATCTGTCTAAAGTTTATGGATACACTTTTATAAATTGAGAACTTTTGACATTGTAAAAAATCAGGTTTCACTTCAGATGACACCTAAAAAGCAACATACTTTCCCTAATTAAAAAATTAACATATTCTCATAGTTACAATAACCATTGTGAACATGAATAAATTAAAAAAGGAATAGCAATTTTCAGAAATAACCACTGTTATATTTCTTTTAGCGTTTTCAAATATATATATATATGCAACTATAATCATTTGTATTTAGATTTTAAGCTTTTCATCGTGAGGGACTTAATAATAGTATTTTTACATAAGTGCAACTTGTTTTATTAGACTTAGTATATCTTGGATACCTTTTCATGTCAACATAGTACCATAAGGCCAAATGATAATTTCCTTAAAGCCCAATTGTGGCCATTTGGGTTGTTTCTCATTTTTCCCTGTTCAAAACAGTGCTGCCGAGAAAGCTCTGTACATATCTCTGCTTGCTTGAATGAGTGTTCCTGTAGAATAAAACCCTTGTCATGGAATCGTCTGGTCAAAGATATTAGCATGTTGCCTTGCAGAAGGTTGTACCAATTTATTCTGATCTAATGATCTGTTGGGTTTTTTTTCTTAAATCATTAGTGCATTGACCATCTTCATGTTTTATTTGCCTTTTTGTATTTCTTCTGTGACTTTCCTGGTGGCGTTCTCTGATGTTGTGCTGTGTTCGTTGTTCCTACTGATTCCTTCGTAATTAGTATTTCTTGGACCAGGTAATGGGGAACAAAAAGGAGTGTAGTGGTGAACAAAATAGAAATGGTCCTTGCCCTCGCGCAGCTTCCGCATCCTGGGGAGGAGGATGTGAAGCAAATAGCTGCTTACTCTAGGTGTGCGCAGTGCCCTGAGGAAGACGAGCGCAGTCGAAGACCTTTGAGAGGAAAGCATATGGGGGTGAAGGGAGTAGGGCTCCCCACTTTGTGGGCTGGGGATGACTTGGTGAACAAATGGTGTTTAAGCTGACCTTGACGGAACAGTGGGAGATGGCCAGGCTTGGGTGGGTGGGAGAAGGGCAGGTAAGCGCCCCAAGCAGAGGAAGCCTTCTCTGTAGAGCGGACAGGAGGGATGAGAGCTTGAGCAGCTGGGAGAAGCCCGGGCGGGGGATGGGAGCGCAGGGGTGAGGGGAGGGTGCGGTTCGTGATGCTGGCATTGGTGTCAGCAGGGGCCACGGGCAGCCTTGAGTCTGAGGGCGGCGCCATGCCCTTGAAGAGTTTGAAGAGCCGGAGAGTGAGGATATGTCTGTTTTTCAAAAGATACCTATCTTTGACCCTTCTGGGCAGGAGATGAGTAATGTCAGTCAGGAGTACTTCGCCTGCGTATTTGTCAGTTGTCTGGATAAACAAACACCAGCAGGTAATTTTTAGTGTTGTGAGAAAAAAAGATGATTCATTTAATAAAATGGTGCTGGCAAAACTGAGATACATGAGAAAAAATAAAGTCGGATCCCTATTCTCACCATCTTCCACAGTAATTTCCAAATGAATTAAAGGCTTAAGTATATAAAATAAAGAGTAAGAGTCTTAGAATAATATATTTTTTTGAGACACAGAGAGAGAGAGAGAAAGAGAGAGAGAGAGAGAGAGCGCACAAGTGGAGAGGAGCCGAGAGGGAGAAGGAAAAGCAGATTCCCCCGCCGAGCAGGGAGCCCGAGGCCAGACTCCATCCCAGGAGCCCCTCCCCCCAGATCATGACCTGAGCCAAAGGCAGACGCTTAACCAACTGAGCCACCAGTGCCCCAAGAATCTTAGAATAATATTTAGATGACTATATATAATCCAAGAGTTGGAAAGGTATTTTAAATCAAGAAACTCAGGGGCGCCTGGGTGGCTCAGTTGGTTAGGCGACTGCCTTCGGCTCAGGTCATGATCCTGGGGTCCTGGGATCGAGTCCCACATCGGGCTCCCTGCTCAGCGGGGAGCCTGCTTCTCCCTCTGACCCTCCCCCCTCTCATGTACTCTCTCTCATTCTCGATCTCTCAAATAAATAAATAAATCTTTTAAAAAATTTAAAAAAAATAAATCAAGAAACTCAGAAGCTATAGAAGTAGGGACATGTACAATTTTTTAAAATCTTGCTTTATGGCAAATAGTACCATGAACAAATCGAAAGCCATAAAAAGGAACAAACTTGATACCTGCCACAGCATATGAATTTTAAACATTCTGTTTGTGTTTAAATGCCCCGATTGGGTGGGAGCCCGTGGTGTGGGCCCTGAAAGAATTCACTCAGGGCAGAACAAAGGAGAGAGCAGTTTATTGAACACACGCCAGGGAACAGCGGGCAGGGCGGCAGTGCGGAGTAAAGAGGTAGGGGGACATGTGGAATTTTCCCTTTTTTGCTAACTGTGCCTGGTTGTAAGTAGCTCATTGGTCAGTTAGGGTCTGTGGCCATTTTTCCACGTGGGTCACTTTAAGGAGCCTGTTTACATTCAGCTCCATGGTCACTGTGGGCCTTTTTGCCTTGCTCAAGTTTTCATCGCTCAAGCCTGTTGCCTAAAAGTGGCCTCTACGGTGTTGAGAATAAGAAGCCAGCCATAT